ACATAGATGTGTCTACATGTAAGACATTTAGTGCCTTTTATTTTAGTAAGTTTCTAGCTTAAAGATAACTTCCTATTATTTTTTTAATAATGTTAATATTAAGGTCTACTCTATTTTCTTAATGTTATAACTTCTGCACTACAGGCGTTTTTATTTGTGCCCTAGGTAGTTTTTTTACTTTTAGTAAAGTATAATAAGTTATCTATTATAAAGGCAGCTTTATGCTTTCCTATATGTATTAAATAATTTAACATTATATGTTTTTAAAAGCGCTTTATTATTTTTTTTTAATTTATGTTTAGTGTAAACTGTCTGCTTTCCTAAAAAGTTATAGACTAATAAGGGGCAACTTTATTTATAGTAGTTAGAAAGTTCTTTGCTACAGCATTAAACTATGTTGTTTTTAGAACATTTTGTGTCTCTGCTTCTATAGCAGCGTAGTTATACTCTGCTAGCTATAGGTCCTATATGCTTGCGTTTCTTAGCAGCTTTAAGGATGCATTATATTAGTTGCGCGCACGTTTTTATTTAAATTAGTTGTTAACACCTACTGTAGCTTTAAGGTTTATAATCTACTGTCTAAGTAGTTAATCTAGGGAACAGCATGTACACTGCAGATGCAGGCTAACTATTAACTAGATAAAAATAATAATTTATTAAAAGCTTAATTACTCTCTTTTATAATTATGTCTATTACTCTTATACTTATTAGCCTTAATTTTATAGTATTTAATAGCTTTTTTAAAGGCTCTAACACTGCTTGTTAATAGCTTGTTTAGGTGCGTAGGCGTTTTAATATTAGAGGCTAGTGAAAACTTAGCTATTAGCAGCATCTCTAGAGCTCTTAGTTTAGAGATTATTTAGATAGTTAACTTAGGATCCACTTGCGGCCAGATGCCGTGCGCTACACATCTTAATTACAGCTGCATCATCCAGGCTCTGTAGTCAGTGTGGTCTCAAAGGACAACTGTCGCGTCTCGAGGAGGCTAGGTAGCTATTTTATATTAATAAAGGCACTAAGACTTTTAATTGTTAGATTAAAGCACTGTTTCTAGGCTTCTTAAGATAAATAATAGGTTTAGATATAATATATAGGATAATTAATTAATTATATTAATTATGTTCCTTTATTAATCCTTTTTCTGCTCTACTTGTGTTGCTCAGCTTTTTGTTTTGCTGATCTAAGTCCCTCGCGCACTTGCCCTATACGCGACTAGCTTGCAAAATGCTGCAAAATGCTGCAATTTGCAGCAACATACTGTTCAAGCTTATTGCTTGTACTATGTAGCAGCTTTTGTCAAGCGTTCCTCCTGTCTTGACAGTAGGTGCGCAAATCTGACAAGTTTATGTATTTAGTAGGCTTAGTTAGTAGCTTTTTAAAAGCCTAAGAGTCTAAAAGGTGTCTATAATTTTGCTATTTTTTAGTAAAAGTTAGTAATCTTTTACTTAAGTTTTAGTAGCTTACTAACTTTATTACTAATTTACTAAAGTTTTTTAATATTATTCTAAATTAAATTAATTTACTTTGCTAAAATAGCTTTACTTTAGGTAGAAACTTTTATAAATCTTAATAGCACAGCATAGGCTATATTAAAATCTAAGTTATGTTAAGAAGTATCTATACTTTTTAAAAGAAGTAGTGTTTAATGTTATAATTTTTACTTCTTAAAAGCACTTAGGTCTTATAATATTCCTACAAGAGAAGTAGGGCAGATAGTAGGGGCTAACTAGTAGGGTGTAAAGTCCTACGTACAGGCTAATAGGCTATTAGAGGGGAGTAGAGTGACTAGATTATAGTTTACCTTATATGCAGTAGTAGAAAGGCTAGGGTTAAATAGTCTTATTAGATAAAGTTAAAGGTATATATAGTGTAAGATATATAAATAGTATTATAGCTTTTTAGAAAGCTAAATGCTACTTAGTCTATATAAAAAATAAACTAAATATTAAACATACTTTTTAAAGGTTATTTAACAAAGAAACTATATACATGTAAAGGGGGGCGCTAAGGTAAGTTTAAATAAGTTTAAGTAAGCTTTATAAATTAGCCCTACTGCTAACTTGTCCTAGATTATCTAGACTTACTAAGCTCTTTTAAGCCTTATGTCCTATCTTCCTACTAGACAACGCATTCTTCCATTACTGCAGGCAGCTGTGCTGCCTCTGTGACCTCTAATTGGTCTATAAGCGAGCCCTGTTCTAACCCAGCTAGACCGTGGAGCACTGCTGGTGGAGTTACGCTGGTCCAGCCATAGACCGTAACAATAGCATGGATAGCACTGAGAGCAAGGTTTCGGAGAAAGATAGGAGTGTATTGTAAGAGAGACGAATCGCTGCCAAGCTTCGCTTGTCAGGATTCATGCTTATATACGAAGCACAGGTCATGTGACCTCCAAACAGGCCGGGTGAGGCCATACTAGCCCGTTCTAGGACATCCGACCTTACACTTTACCTACTTTTCGCACATTTCTAAAAATCTTATGCTTAAATTTATTTATTCTAATTATACGCTTACACTGCAACTTTAGAGTATATGCTAAAGTAGCCTGCTTAAGCTTATTATCCTAGCAACACTTAATTATTACGCAAGTATTCTTTATATAGATGTAAGGACGGAGCTCTGTACCACTACGCCAATACAACCAAAAAGGTGCGAATAATCAACTAACGTTAATTATTGCGTACAGAATAGTATATATACCCGTCGCACGTAAGCACCATCTCGGCCTTACACGTAAGCGCCATCCCGGCCTTACAATAGATAGGCTCTCTCTAAGAGACTTAATGCTATGTGTGCTATTATTAAACTTTACACGCTTACTTAGCTGCCTTAGTATAAAGTAACTTCTTTTTAAACTTAGCATTTACTTACATCTATGTAAGAATTATTGTTAGTGTCTTCTACTTCTTATATTTAGGCCTAGACAAAGGTGTATAAGAGTAATAGGCTTTCTACTTAGCTTTTTAATACTTATATTAATTATAAATTAGGCGCTAAGCTTTTTTAGTAAGTAGTAGCTTATATCTTTTACTATAACAGTCTTAAGTTAAGTCTAGATACACTAGGTTATTAAATAAGTTATTAAATAGATTATAATTAATAGTCTAACTGTCCGTACGTAAGTACAGCTGTGTCTGTACACGCGTACGGCTGAATTAGGTTGCCTGAAACGTTGGCTATCTGGCCTGTGCGTTAGGGGCTATGTGTACTTAAGAGCCCTCTTTCTTCGTACAAAGAGAGAGGGCAGTAGTCAATAACAAGAAGATCTTTGCCTGCTCACCTCTTGGTACGCCCCTTGGGCGTACGTTCGTTCGATCGAACCTAGGTCAACCGACACTAACACTTTATAAGCTTTTTCTATGTATATAAAGCTAAAAGCACTTTTTCTAAATTAAAAGAAATAATATATATTTACTTAAAACTACTTAAAATTATACACTAAGTAAATTTTTTTAACTTAATTAAATAAAAAAAAGCTAGGAACTTAGTTATTATAAATAAGTTTACACTAGTTTTTATAGTAAAGTTAAGCTTCTGCCTATAGTACTATTTTATAGGCTAGAAGCAGCCTACATCTAATAGCTAAAGAAAGTAAGTTATATTAAAAATAAAAGTGTATAATTAAATTTAATTATTAGAGGCGCATTTAACTAGCTTATAGGTAATGTAGCTTTTATAACTATCTATAAAAAGCATTTTTAAGCGCCTTTTATATAATCCTTTGTTATATAATTAAAATGCTAGATAAATTTATAGAATAGTTAGTTATTACTATATATAGTATTACTAGTGCTAATTAGGTAGTTATCTAGCAGCTTTATACACTACCTTGTAATAATACTTAAAGCTTTAATAAGTACTATAAAAGCTATAAATTCTCTACTAGCAGAGATAGTCTTAATAAAAGTAATAAGCTTTTTATTATTACTATATAGTATATAGCAAAGAGAATTATATTTAGTGTACAGATATTAATTCTTTGTAACACTAATTTTTATACTAAATTTATTAAAATTCTAGATATTTTAAAGTATAATTTTATACTTATTAAATTTCCTTTTAAAGCTATAAACTACTTAAAAATAGTAATAAGCTACTAAGTAAGCTTTTAAGCTAATTAGTAGGCTATTTTCTGCCTGCTATAGGAGGCTTTCTATCTCTATTATACGTCCGCGCAAGCAGCGTGTTTGCTGTGCTCTGTATAAGCTTATATTAAACACTAAAGTTAATATTATTAATATAATTAATAAATAGCTTTAGCGTAATTTTTTAGTTATTTATAAAGACTTGGTTTGTTTTTTAACACATAGATTAATTACACCTGCCTTAGTAGGCCTGTTTAAGTTGCTAGTAGGGTAGGTTGTTAACGCAGGCGTACAACGCTAGATTTAGATTCTCATGCTGCAGGAGCTATGTGGCCGCAAGCTTAATACACGCTGCAGTAGCTTTGTACTCTGCAGATTAATTAGCGCGTTAAATTAACGCATTTAAAAGGGATTTAATTAATTAATTGTTAAGCTGGGTATAACTGTTAAGCATGCAGGCCCGCGCTGCGCGCGAGCCTCTATTCCAAAAAGTTGATTAGTCAACCCGTCGGGGCCCGAGTAACAATACATTTTTTGTACTTCATTTGGTTTCTGAAAAGGCTTTCACGACCCCTGGCTGACTCAGACCGATCTACAACTAACTAGTTAACCTCTGGGAACCCTTCCTCCGTGAGAGTCCCAAAAGAAAGAGAGCATGCACTGCTAGTGTAAGACAACCCGTATCTGAAAAATGGCCGAGCACCTGGCAATCATCATTCGTCGATGGCGCCTAGTGGGTCAAGCGGATCGCGGAGCTCCACTAGGTCTTACAACGTCGTGGACCGCCCTGCTCGCATCAATGCTAGAAGATGCTTTCTGATCTCGCCTATTTTGGGTAATTGGGCTAGGTCATTTGTTAGGAACATAGTGATGGCTGCGTGAAGCTCACAGAGCCATGCTTGGTAAAGCTTTAAATTCAGTTGACTGCCGAGATTCTCACTACCAACTTCGTGCTTTTCCATCGTGTTGTACATCCCCATCTCGAAAACCGTAGCGTACCAATCCATTGCAATGGCGGACCAAACAGACCCCGATTACTGGACCAAGCAGGTTCTCTTCACAAAGTCTTATCACCGAGACGTCTACCCTGCTATTGACCCCAAGAACCCTAGCAACAGTGCCGCAGGAAAAATCGTCCTTATTACAGGCGCGAGTGAAGGGCTCGGGAAAGGCATTGCGTTCGCTTTCGCGGCTGCCGGAGCTGCCGGCGTTGTTATCACTGCTCGGAGGGACAAGCTGTTGCAAACCACGGCTCAGACTATTAGAGAAAAATCCCCCAAGACCGAAGTTGTAGCCGTGGCGTGCGATGTCACCGACGAAGAGGCCACTAAGAGCCTGTTTGAAAGCATCAAGCAGAAATTTGGGAAGCTGGATATCGTGGTCGCGAACGCGGGCGGAGTATCTCAGGGCAAGAGTGCCTTTCCCAAAATCGGAGACTTCGAGACTAGGGCATGGTGGAATGACTTCGTACGCTATTACTCCCTTTAAACTAATTCAATGGGTGAGAATGGCACCATGGTGACGGTTTCAAAATCAGGAAATCAACGTTCGAGGAACCCATCTCACTAGCCACCACTACATCACCACCTTCGGTCCCCAGGGGACCATAATCGGCCTGACGTCCGGCGCTGCTAGTATATCAATCCCGGGAATGTCCTCCTACATCATAGCTAAACTCGCCATCATACGCATAATGGAGCTTCTGCATGTCGAGTACCCAGATCTCCGTACATTCTCATTCAACCCGGGTATCGTTAACACCCCCCAAATCATGGACGCATTTGCACCGTATGCGCATGATACTCCGGAGCTGGGTGGTGCAATGTGTTGTTGGCTTGCGACTGGGAGGGCGGAGTTCATGAGGGGGAGGTATGTGGGAGTGAATTTTGATGTAGAAGTGTTAGAGAAGCACAAAGAGGAGATTGTGGAGAAGAATCTATTGAAGACAAAGTTTTTGAATGTTGATTTGGGGCTGGAGGGATATGCTTTGCTGGAGTGAAGACCTTGGGAGAAGACTGCGGATATTGGGAATGTTGACTGTAGTATGGAAACCGAAAAGATGATTAATGGTTTCAAATTCAAGAAAGCTAAAGGCTGATAATAAGCCTCGTTAAATGCTAAATCCCAATACCACTAATACCCACCGTACCTAAGTAACCAAACCCAAGATTTTTGGATTGTACCGCATGGCCCTAAAAAACTTTTGAGGAGGTCTTCGGCCCATTATTATGACCCCAGAATGGCCTTCACCTCACTCCAACTTCGCATTCTCCTGCGCTCTTGATTCCACAGTGTTCCGTTCACCGCATTCGTCCACACCCAATCATCACAGAGCACCAAATCGTCTTCATCTCCATAGTACGACTTCGGCACGTCGGCCTCGTATATCACGACACGGTCCTCAGGCATCCAGTCTCTGGTACTTTCTGGAGTCTGGTGATTCGAGGAGATGTCGATCAGCACAACGTTCAAATGGCGGCCAATGAAGTGATCAAACAAAGCCTGTATATGAAAAGCCTCTAGTTCGGATTGTCGAAGGAAAAACAAAGTCTCCAGGGTTGGGATTGAGAAACAAAACTTCATGAATGCCTTGTCGGCCTTTTGAGACGTTATGGCAAGCCGCTTGAGATTTGGAGGTGGGTATGGGAAGTATTCCGTGATCTCGTATGAGCAAACTAACTCTTCCAAGTTGAGCATCGTGGAGAAGATGTTGTTCGCCCGTACATGTGGGTTGATTCGTTGCACCGAGGAGCGAGGAGAATAAACCGGTCCGAGGTCCATTGCAAGACGCTTCAAGGTAGGTCCAACAGTATTGCAAAGGTCTATCACCTGCGAAAGCCAGACCTTGGGGGATCCACATTCGTTCGTCTTTTGCGGGGATATAAACAGTGAGGTGATATGAGAAAGAAGATTTGCATCCATAAAAAGCCTTTCATGCCTGCTAGGTTGGCCATCCTGGAGAGCATCGGGGTGGCGCCCGTATCCTCGGTCGAATCCGAGAGTCCTCCGGAAGCGGCTAAAATTTGTGGAGGTGTGTAAATAGAGACAATGGGTGTAGAGATATCCGGAAGTTGCAGGATAAAGCCCTTTTGAGACCAGTGTCAAGGCGCGCAGTGCCTTTGTGATTGGATCGGAAGGCGCATATGCAATCGGTTGGCGTCCGTCCCGGGTCCCGACAAGTTGGTCAAGAACGTTCAAAAACAGCTCGATGGGCAGGGACGAGAAGGCTGGCCATAGATGTGGCTGCTCGACAGCCCGCATTGCAGCTCGTAGAATTGCAAGTGAAGTTAGATGGTTGTGTTTCGTGGAGGTGTGCTAATAAAAGGCCAAAGAGTCCGGCGGGGCTAAACGAAGTGCGAAAAGTCCTCCCACGTGACGTTAGGGGCGGCCATCGGGGCCTAAGGCCTTATACCTGATGTGATGAGTTGTGGCTAAGTAGGGAACTTCGTAGATATTTATGAGATGGGTGAGATGGAGACTGTTGAGACACGGACCGTTGAAATTGTCTTCGTTCATGGCTGTACCCACGACTTGTAGCTAAATATCTTAAAATCACCAACAATCTGTCAGCGTTCATTATTAGACCCGCGCTTCAGACTTTTCTATCATTTAATTTGCTACTGTACCGTGCAGTCCTTAGCATAGTTCCATCGGTTCTGGCTATCTCCTGTCTGTTCGATCAAATCCTGTGCCTCGGTGGGTCTTTCGAGAACTGATGGAGGCTCACCTCCCTATCGAAGGAGACAAGCAGCTATTTAGAGGGCTAGGCTTTCTTCTCCTCGCCGCTCTTTTAGAGCAGGCCATATTTTAGCAGGGCGTGAGTTTTTGCACTGTGGTAATCGGTCTCTTCTATGCATCTACGGAGCCGGACGCACGCTCTGCTAAAGCGCAGCCTCAAGAACGGATTTCTTAGGTTCTTCCCTGATAATAACCCCCAAGCCGAGTCACTGCTCAATCCACGTTCACCCAAACTTCTAGGATAAAGTCGAAGATAATACATACTGGGCCAAGAATAGTCAGTGGACGTGCCTTAGTAGATCGAGATTTGGCTTTGGCGGCCTGAGTGTAAGTGCGCACATTCCCCTCTGTGCTTTCCTCTTTGTCAAATCCCTTCTCTCTCCTGGCCACACGTTATCAGCAGGGATTATGTGCTGAATTTCAATTCGATTCAGAGGGATACCCGACGCTTCGGCTACTATAACGAGTTTTCCGGAGTAGAATGTACAGAGGCCTGGGCGGTTTACTGAATATGGAGCGGTAAATATTTCTTCGTGGCCCAATACGGCACCATTTTGCGGATTCATATGGTTTCCATTGCGTTTTCTAATATATCTTCAAGATGGCCTCCTTTTGAGCTCTAAAGTAAAGTCCTTTACCTCCCCTGAGTGAAGTTGTGGAATTTGCTCACAAACTTCTTGTCCTAACTATGCTCAGGGAGCATTTTGCAATCCCCATCTTGGAAAGGCAACATAATCTTGGAGAACCATAGAGTGAGCAAAGGCTTTAGTTGCACAGTCCTAGAATTTTCTCGGTAACCCCATCGCTGTAAAGAATATTTTATGGGGATCTTCGAGCGCAATTCCCCTAAAGTGAGCTCTGCGGAATGAGCAAAATCTCCTTAAAGCCACCAAGACATCCAAGTCGATTTCTTCTTTCTAGGCTAATTTTGAAACTTGTATCCTTTTCATAATCGGTTCGGACCGAGTCTGGATATGGGTGGAGATCTAAAGGGGCGAATTTATCGCAGGGTTAGAGCTGATTTGATGGTGAAGAGCATGGAGAAGTCAATTAAGTAATGAGAGACAACCTAGGTATATTGAAGTGAGGTGTAGGGTCTCTGGAGCGAGAGAGAGCTCAGAGATAAATATGTAGTAGCTAAAAGAGAGCTAGTCCTAAACGGGAAAAGAGTGAGAGGTGAAGGACCCACATTCCCCCTGCGCTGGCTCACGTGAACTAGTTTCGCGTGAGACAGAATTCTAAGGTATCGGGGTAGGATTTTTGGTATGTGAGAGAAAGCCAACTAATCCTTTCTAGACTGAGAAAGGAGGGAGGTCAATACGCTTGTATATGAATACCTTGACATCGTAGTTGAACTTGTTGGAAAAGGGGTTGTTTGCTGCGCCTGAAGTCTTGGGGGTGCTTGCGTGGTTGCCAGGCCGCTTGGTGGATCGCAGAGATTTCTCCGAGCGCTTCATTATTCCCCCGAAGGTCAAGCATCAACGTTTGGCTATGGTGAGGGCTGTGGTTGGATGTTTGAAATTGGTAGTCGCGGCGTAGTTGTGGGCGAGGAAGGATCAATATGCACAGCACCCAGGCAGGCTGCGGGGCGTTTGAAACCCGAGCACACTCGGGAATGGGATAGAGTCACCCGAAGAGGGCATGAGCTGGGATCCAGTGATATTGATTATCCATGTTGGTACCAATCACTTCTTGAAAGCGGCCTTGAGTTCTGTCCTACAGGGTACACATAATCCTTTTAGGTCAGACTAGGTTAGTCCGTCTTCCGTGAATGAAATCCGTACTCTCTTGGCATCTTTTGGAAGATGTGAAAACTGAGCATGTATTCGTTTCCCTTCCCTCACTCTCGGCAATACCATGGAGGACTTTGTAACGGAATCATGACCCAATAGAGGGGTCAAGGGTGTACCGAATTGGCTCATGTGATGAATTAGGTTCGAATAGGTGATTAAGGCACTCAACTTGGTGATGGTCATGCAAGTGCTCAGAATGAAGTGGCACAGTTCTTGGAGCGGAAGAGTTCCGTGCTAGCGGCTGAAGCTGCTGCCTTCCCAGTCCACCACACAAACAACTACACACATACAACACCATCACACCAAGCCCGGTATAGCAACTCATTCTAAGGTTATGGCCTCTAAATTCACGATGCAAGCCCTTTTGAAGAGGCAGCTGTCCCTCTCACCCGAGCTTCAACAGTACTACACCTTTCTCGACGGCGCTTGGAAGTTATTTCCTCCCATTTCAACCAACGCTCCTCATCGTCCCCCTAACAGCGATTCATTCCAGACGATGCATCTCATAACGTGGAACATTGACTTCATGGCTGAATGTCCCCAGGAACGAATGTCTTCCGCCATTTCCCACCTCGAGAGCCTTGTTTCTACCATCCCAGCCTCGTCACCAGTTGTCATCTTTCTGCAAGAAATGCAACAGAGAGCGAGACAAAATTTTGCAACGACCTTTAAGGAGTCAATAGGTGCATCTTCTTATAGTAAATGCGCCAATGATTTGACCCAACTATCTCAAGCTTCCTGGATTCGAGAGAGGTTCTCCATGTCAGACCTTACCCCTGCGAATTGGGCTGCTTCGTACGGTACTGTGACCTTGGTCGATCACCGCTTGACTATAGTGCAAGTTTCAAGGTTGAAATTCATTAGCGAGTATGGGCGAGATGCTTTACTTGTTGATATCGCCTTTCCCGGAACCGAGAAAGTCCTAAGACTGTGCAATGTTCATTTGGACTCTATGGATGGCTCGATGCGTCCTATTCAATGGAAAGGAGTCGCTCAATGGCTACAGAGGAAAGACGATGGGGTAGCAGCCAGTATCCTCGCCGGAGATTGTAATGCAAATCGGCCTCGCGACAAGACGGAACCGCAGGAGAACGGTTTCAGAGACGCATATCTAGAACTAGGGGGAGTCGAGGATGTCGAAGAAGGCGCGACATGGGGGTTTCAATGCCCTTCTAGCGCGAGATGGGGACCAACACGGCTAGATAAGGTCGTATTCTGGGGGAATTTGGAGGTAAAGGAACTTGAGAGGATTGGGGTAGGGATCAGGGTTGAGGATGAAGACGCAAAGAAGGAGTTGGGAGAGTGGGATTTTGTGACCGACCACTATGGATTAGTGGCCAAGTTCGAGCTTCCAGGAACGCTAGGTATGTGGCGGTCTTTCCCATCTACTACATATTAGCACCCACCAGAGAACACCATCAGAAAGTATACCCATTAGCGTTGTTGCTGGAACAAAAGAGGAGGTTTTGAGAATGGAGTTTCCTATATATTCCATCATATGTACCAGCATGCGTTATGGAAACCCGACATTTAGTGGAATTCTCTATGCTGACCATTACCAGCGTCGGAAATTCCTGATCAAATTTCAATGCCTTCATCAAATTGAACAAGTGGCCAACTTCTCTTCGAAAAATGGGTAGTCAACGTATCCTTTCGAAGGAGGGTCCGCTCCGTAGAACGTAGACCTGTCGTATTGGTTTAACGACAACCCCTCGCTCAATCTCCTAGGGAGATCTGGGTTTGCGATGAACCACCGACCAAAAATGACAGCATCCGCATCATTGGATTCTATCTTTGGTGCAGCGTTATCTCTGTTGAAACCACCTGCCGCAAGAAACTTTACCCCACCATTTGCTAGAATACTGCGAAAAGTGACAAGGGAGTTAGCCTTCGGTTTGGCCCTGGCTTTAGCCTCTACGCGATTGGTGCATGTATATGCTGACAGGGCGTCCAACTTTGCCTTCTCGTCGAGGACTTCGTCAAAACGTGGTTCAACCCTTCAACCGATAAGTTTTTCTTTGCCGACGGGGATGTAGATTCTTACATGTGGACATAAGCTGGCCTTTCAGCTTCCGGCAATGAGGCGATCTTTCCGCAAAGATACTCCCAATGCTCGTTTGGATTGCTGTCCCTGGTGTCCTGGAAGTAGTTGAAAGGGCTCAAACGTATGCCGACCTTGTTAGCTCCAATCGCTTTACACGTCTCCTGGATAACCTCGAGCGGGAATCTGCATCGGTTCTCGACAGAACCACCATACTCATCTGTCCTGTTGTTGACGTTGTCATGGAGAAATTGATCAAGCAAGTAACCGTTCGCACCATGGATTTCAACACCATCGAAACCAGCTTCAAGCGCCCTCTTCGCAGCCGCACCAAATTCCTCAGCCGTCGCATGGATTTCCTCGATAGTCATCGGTCGTGGAGGATTCTCAGCACAGCTCGTTCCGTCCAAGTAGTTTCCGGACATCGGGATACCGCTCGAGCTCCACGACTGTTGACCTCCACGGAAGGAGGCTGGAGATGCACGTCCAGTGTGCCAAATCTGACAAAAGATGAAACCACGTTTAAAGTGAACAGCGTCGGTTACTTTCTTCCACCCCGCAATCTGTGACGGAGTAAAGATGCCCGGTACCCCAGGATAGCCTCCCGCCTACAATTATTCTCAGCAAGGTAAATACTTCTCAAGTCCATTGCCATCTTACATATTTGCAGATGTCGGTTGCCTCGGTCAATTGGAAACCACCTTTGTTTGCCCGTTGTCTGTAATATTCAACATTCAACTCATTTGGCACCACGACTCCATCGCTTTCCTTTGTTCCACGCATTCGCGTCAGAGGGGCTTGAACAATTCTATGCTCCAGGCTCAGCGAACCCAGCCGCAAAGGTGTGAATAGTGCAGTATCCTTGAGTGGCTTGAAGCCCGGTGGAGAGTCTGCTTTCGGCATGACGATGTAGAGTATTTGAGGGATTCTCTTGTATAAATTTGGAGCGAAAAGAGATGCCACCGAAGCTGGAGCCAGCTGTGATGAAAATATTAGAAACTCGCATTCTTTGGCCGGGGGTTCTCTATTGTACCTGCACTACAGTTGTCGTCAACAGTGCCAAGCACACCGATTTCCATCATGGTAAGTGGGTTTACATAGATGGGGGATAGGATATCAGCATTCCAGTGCTGGATCCGCGTCTCAAATTACCTCTCGAGACGAGAATCGTTTGTTCCAAGAGTGGGGTGAATTGACGCTAACGAATTCGGTAGCGCTATAAATCTAGCTCTACCCAATTAGCGACAAGCCCTTACGTAGCGGTGTGAATGGTAAGCTGATATTGAGGGGTCATCACAAATTCGTTCTCGTTGTCTCCCATTTCCGTCTTTTCAACTTTGTCTTCCGCTTGGGTTGCGATCTTGATTGATTTAGGAGCGAATTTATGTTCATGATGGCTCTGCCAGTTCCTCCCAAAACGGAATTGGACCCACCGCGGGCGCTTTCCGCAGCCGAAGCTCTCACACCTCTAATCTCATCTACGTACACTTCTCCAGACATCACATTCTATCTTAATGGAAGAAGGACAATTCTCAGCAATCCGAATCCGCATTGGACACTACTCGACTACATCCGCGCGCAACCGAACCTCAAGGGCACGAAGCTAGGATGCGGAGAAGGAGGATGCGGGGCGTGTACCGTCGTGTTACAGGTCCCCGATGTGCAGACTCGAGGTTCTGAAAAGAGGAGGGTGAAGCATTTGGCTGTGAATGCCTGCTTATTTCCTCTGCTTGGCATCGATGGAAAACATGTTATCACGGTGGAGGGTATTGGTAGCGTGGAAAAGCCGCACCCATTACAGGAGAGGATCGCAAAGTTACATGGAAGTCAATGTGGATTTTGCACACCTGGTATCATTATGAGTCTCTATGCACTAGTCAGGAATGTGTACGATCCCGAGACGCAGATATTTAGGTTGAGCGAGAGGGACATCGAACTCGAAGGCCATCTTGATGGAAATCTGTGCAGATGTACAGGATACAAGCCCATCCTACAAGCCGCAAAGACTTTCGTCACCGAAGATCTGAAGGGGAAATTGGCAGAAGAGACGACGGGAAAAGATATGAAATTAGAAGCTGAAGGTGTGGACCTCGTGCAGAACGGCTATGGGAACACAGTAAAGGGGTCTTGTGGACGACCTGGTGGCTGTTGTCGAGACGCACCGTCTGACAATAGCTCAACAGACAGTAAATCCTCCACAAGTACGCCACCCACAGAAGCGCTATCGATATTGGATGATGAGCCCATCCCGGCCAATCTCGGTATTAAGGGAGACCCGCTACAAGATTTATCGGTCAGTGGTGCCGCTTACACAAAACCCATGAAGAACAAAGAGAATCAACTTTCAGACGCGGAAGTTAAGGCATCCACTTCCCTCGACGCACTCACCATGGGCTCGAGGGATGGACTACCCAAAGTTCAATTCAAAGAATATGTGCCTGGCACAGAACTCATTTTTCCGCATGCGCTCTGGAAATTTGAGCCCAAAGCGCTATGCTATGGCAACGAAAAGAAGATCTGGTTTAGACCCACAACGCTTCAGCAGCTAGTAGACTTGAAGGATGTATACCCGTCAGCTAAATTAGTTGGAGGGGCGAGTGAGGTGCAGGTGGAGGTGCGCTTTAAGAATTCCGATTTCGCCGTGTCAGTCTACGTGTCAGATATTCCTGAACTGAAGGAAACCAAACTCCCACCAGATGCAGAACTCATATCGGCGGAGGAGATTGTGTTGGCAGCAAATACCCCTTTGACCGAATTGGAATCTATTTGCAATGAAGTGTATGCAAAACTAGGGAAACGCGCTATGGTGTTGCGAGCTCTAGGAAAACAGCTTCGATGTTTTGCAGGTCGGCAGATTCGCAACGTTGCCTCACTCGCTGGTAACATTGCAACGGCATCTCCTATTTCCGACACAAATCCCGTGTTGGTGGCGTCTGGGGCTCGTCTCGTTGCACGTAGTAAGGGGAAGGGTTCCTTCCAGCTGCCAATGTCAGAATTCTTCGTCGCGTATCGGACTACTACCCTACCGCCCGATGCAATTATTAGCCACATCAGAATACCACTACCTAACTCAGGGTCCAGAGAGGTCTTGAAAGCTTACAAGCAGGCTAAGCGGAAAGATGACGATATTGCTATTGTCACGTCGTCTTTCCGAGTAAGGTTGGATGCAGGAGGAAATGTCAAAGATATATGTTTGGTGTATGGCGGTATGGCCCCAACAACGAAGGAAGCCTCTAAATCGAAAGCGGCATTGCTTGGAAAGAAGTGGTTGTCCTCCGAAACGCTAGAGGCCGGTCTCGCTGCTCTTAACACCGACTTCGACCTTGATTACGGTGTGCCAGGTGGTATGGCACATTATAGAAAGACTCTCGCACTTTCTCTTTTCTTCCGCTTCTGGCATGAATCAGCAGTTGACCTTGAGCTTGGTAAAGTAGACAGCCAAGTAATCAACGAGATCCATCGTAATATATCAACGGGTGCTCGCGACAATTACAACCCAAATGAACAACGCGTCGTCGGCAAGCAAGTCCCGCATATCTCAGCTCTAAAGCAATGCACTGGGGAAGCCGAGTATATTGACGATATGCCTCGGCAAGAAAGAGAACTCTTCGGTGGGTTGGTATTATCATCGAAAGCACACGCAAACCTCGTAAGTGTTGACTGGGCACCAGCGTTGGAGATGCGTGGTGTTGTTGGCTACATCGATAGGAATAGCATTCCGAAAGAAGCAAATGTGTGGGGATCGATACGGAAAGACGAACCATTCTTCGCGGAGGATAAAGTGCTTCACCATGGGCAAGTAATTGGTATGGTATATGCAGAAACCGCTCTACAGGCGCAAGCAGCAGCAAAGGCTGTCAAAATTGTCTATGAGGAGCTGCCCACAATTCTTACAATTGACGAAGCGATCGAGGCAAAGAGTTTCTTCGATCATGGTAAGGACCTCAAAAAGGGCGCTGCGATCAGTGGAACTCTGAGCCAGGCCTTTGCCCAATGCTATAGGATTTTCGAGGGCACAACAAGGATCGGTGGACAGGAACACTTTTATCTGGAGACGAACGCAGCGCTAGTGATTCCGTCAAATGAAGATGGCTTCATGGAAGTCTGGTCTTCCACGCAAAACACAATGGAGACGCAAGAGTTTGTCAGTCAAGTCACTGGCACTCCTAGCAGTCGGATAAACGCTCGAGTGAAGCGGATGGGTGGAGCATTCGGCGGGAAAGAATCAAGAAGCGTACCATTCGCATGCTATCTCGCAATTGCAGCCAAAAAAGAGAAGCGTCCAATGCGGCTGATGTTGAACCGAGACGAGGATATGCTTCTTAGCGGACAGCGACATCCCATCCAAGCGCGTTGGAAAGTTGGGGTGTCGAAGGAAGGAAAGCTACTCGCGCTCGACGCTGATATCTACGACAATGCTGGATATTCTCAGGACATGAGCGGCGCCGTCATGGATCGTTGTATTACCCACTTCGACAACTGCTACGAAATACCACATGTGTTCCTTCGCGGACATGTATGCAGGACGAATATCCACAGCAACACCGCATTCAGAGGGTTCGGTGCCCCGCAGGGAATGTACTTCGCTGAGACAATAATGTATAATATCTCGGAAGGACTAGGTATTGATGTCGACGAGCTTCGGCAAAGGAACTTGTATAAGCCGGGTGATTGGACCCCGTTCTTTCAGAAAATCGACGAAGACTGGCATGTTCCAATCATACTCGACCAACTCCGGAAGTCGTCAGAATACGAAAGAAGGAAGAAATCCGTCGCGGATTTCAACTCAAAGAATCGTTGGAAGAAACGCGGTATTTGCCTTGTTCCGACGAAGTTCGGTCTCAGTTTCGCAACAGCTCTACATCTTAACCAAGCTGGGGCATACATCAAGATATACCATGATGGAAGCGTCCTGCTGCATCACGGAGGGACCGAGATGGGACAAGGCTTGTACACCAAAATGTGTCAGGTCGCAGCGCAAGAGCTAGGCGTTCCGCTCGATTCAATATACACGCAAGACAGCCAGACTTACCAGATCGCAAACGCATCACCGACGGCAGCTTCGTCGGGCTCCGACCTCAATGGCATGGCTGTGAAGAACGCATGCGACCAGATTAATGAGCGGCTCAAGCCGTACCGGGAACAATTTGGTAAAGATGCACCACTTCGCACTCTAGTACATGCGGCATATCTAGATCGAGTGAATCTTGCTGCAAATGGGTTCTGGAAGATGCCGAGAATTGGATACAAATGGGGTGATTACGATAAAGAGACTGTGAAACCAATGTACTACTACTTTACGCAGGGCGCTGGAGTCACGGAAGTGGAGTTGGACCTACTTACCGGGGATCACACGGTTCTGAGGACGGATTTAGTAATGGTACCACAACCCCGCTCCATTTCTTGCGAACCGACGCTAATGGTAATGCTTGCAGGACGTCGGAAACTCAATCAACCCCGCAATCGACTACGGCCAAATCGAAGGTGCCTTTATCCAAGGCCAAGGCCTTTTCACTATCGAAGAATCTCTCTGGACGCGTTCCGGTGAGCTCTTCACGCGCGGCCCTGGAACTTACAAAATCCCGGGCTTCAGCGATATCCCGCAAATCTTTAACGTGAGCATGTTACGACAGGACGTCGACGGAAAACCGCTGACGTGGAACCATCTGAGGAGCGTGCAAAGCAGTAAGGGGATTGGCGAGCCGCCTCTTTTCTTGGGTAGTGCGGTATTTTTTGCACTGAGGGAGGCGGTGAAGGCTGCGAGAGAGATGAATGGGGAGAGGGTGGACGGTGGGTGGAAGTTGGATAGCCCGGCTACGGCGGAAAGGTTGCGATTAGCGGTCGGGGATGATTTGGCCAGGAGGGCGGAAGTTAAGAGAAAAGAAGGGGAGACTAGTTTCTTTGTCACAGTTGCGTAAAGGCCAGTCCTGCTAAATTTATCGAGGGTAGTTCAGTCTTGTGCAATATATATTGAAGGAGTACACATTTGTGAAGGTACGAGGTTGAACGAAGTTTGCTCAGCTCGCCATATTTCAGCTCAGCCGCTATCCAGATCAGTCAGGACTTGTGGAGAGTTTTCATAGGATTCGAGACACGTCCCTATGCATATCGAATTCGAATCTATGTGGTGGTGATGGGATTCGTATAACATCCATCCCTGTGAAGCGAGAAACCGCGTGCTAAGAAAAATGATGGGTGCTTGAACTTCTCACTCCTCAAACTCTGTATATACCTTAATATCCATTATATTTTTACATTAGACGCGCTATAAGTAATCCTAAACATGCAGGCACCTTTACACCTAATGCTTACTCTTGCGTCGTCGTCGCTGTGCCTGATTTGTAGAGGGCCCCCGTTGTGTCGCAAAAGAGACTTCTCCCGCCATAGCACTATTATCACGCTCCCGCCGCTACTAAAATTCATAGAATGATTCTATCTAAGCTTACAAACTTCCCTACAGTGTTTGAAAGCTAGTATTGGCGTTCTAGCTGATATCACACAAAGGTTCACGCAAGGTCGCCACACGCGCTAGTACCTTTAATGAAGTTATTGTTAATCTAGACTAGTGCGATACAAGTGTGCACGTCTTATGTAGCTCGCATCATGTAATTTACTCAGATCAAGAGCTCATCTTGTGGCTGTGCGGACCCTTTGCACACGGGCCGGCCCTAGCCCGCCGTACGCCAGGCCAGCGCTTAGCTTCCGCCTACAACGTTCTACATCCTTGACGCTTCTGACTAAAGGTATAAAAGAAATTGCCTAAGCGTGTTGAATACCGTATCAACATCTATCTTTGCACATCTCATAATATCAACCTACAAGACAGTACGCTCTATTGGGCATCTGCGTTTGGCCGGCCCAAGGGGTGGACCCGGCTGGCGCCAGACCCTGTCCCATCTACCAGCAGCACTCCACCGCCATCAGATCTCAGCCCCAGCTCATAATACAAACACGCAGCTCTTTTGATGCGTGTCTAACTGCCTTTCTCCTTCCTGGGCGCCCTGAGGACCGACACTCAGCCTGCTCGTGGAGGGAGAAGCAGCCAACGTCTGAGACTTAAAGCCTCTAGTTAAGTTATTTATTTCCATTCGGACAGGGAACCCAAGCAAGAAAGCATTTGAGGACCGTATATTAAGTTCCTTAGCGAGACAGTGGAGCAGATTGAAACGGAGACAGAGGCGACAGAGAAGAAGTTTATTGCGTGGTGGGCCAAACACTTTAGCAAAAAGCAGTATTTCCGCTTCAACATTGAGCAGGGGCTACAGAATATTGGTCTTGAGGAGTATTAGGAGAAGGGGGCTATTGAAGCGGCTTCGGAGGGATATCTGGCGCACATGGCACAGAAATTCCGGTGCGGGACTGCATTCAGAGTCTGCGGCTGAAGCAAAGTGGGTGCATTGAAGACTTCGCGTAGACATAGTAGATAGCCAATACTTTGTAGGCATAGCAGCCGCTAATCTTTCATACATAATTGAAGTAAAGGCGACATGACTTCACGCGAGAATCGCATTGACATTACCACAATAACGCTATGTCCTGGGACTTTTGACTCCTCTTTTGGAGGCTTTCTGTCGCCGTTTTTAGAGTCACTTGCACCCAAAGTGCCAGGTCCAACCCCTGCGACCCCGTCAGCTTTTATTACCACCCCATGCTGTCTAGTTTCATGCATCCTAGATTCTAAAATTCACAACTGAACGAGCCCAAAAATGGACCCACATCCATCCTGTCGATATATTGTCGACGCTTCCTCTGCTATGCCCGCCTCGCTAAAATATCGGTAGTATCTTCCTGGTTGCATATTGCCGCTATATACAGAGATAGCCGGAGAACAATATTGCATTGATTATCGCCTTACATCTTGCGAGGGAGAAGTTTGCGATGCTTGAATCAAAAAAATTCTCAGCACGGCGGGTTTCTCAGCACACAGGGGGGGACGTTAGCTTGAATATCGAATGTTGAGCTGTGAACAACCAAAATATGTCACGGTTATGTTACAGCCATCCAACCCCTGAGTACCCTAAGGGCTTGGCACGGGGTATATAGGCTCCTCGGCCTCCGTACCTCTGCCTCTGACCCTAAGGTTTACTCTCGTTACACCCCCCTATCCTGCATTCCCTCCCTGTGACCTGTGTTTCCTACTCAATACCTCTTAACGCTCACACACCTGAGTCGCTTACTTTTGCCAAGACCCCACCACACTACCCTTCTTACACTAATGCATTCCTAACAACACTACTTAAATGTGTTAAAGAAATGTTAGATGCAGCTTACGCTCTAAGCTTTTAAATAAAACATAACACTTTCTAACTAACACGCTGCAGCTATCTACAGGGTCCTTTAAAAGATAATAAGTAACTAACATGCTAGACAACCTTTCTAAGCTAATTATACAGCTAACTTATAAAAGCTAAATAATAATAAAAAGTAAGTAATTATTTAGCACATACTTAAGCTAAATGTGTAAGAATTTCCCCCTTAGCTAGTAGCTGTAGCTAATATAGCTAATTCTTTACACACTAAGTATAATATAAGCTATATTAGCATAAACTAGCTTAATATGTTTATTAAGTGTTACTTAGAGCTTAAAGTAAAGTTTAAGTGTAAGTATAACTATAAAAAAGCTTTTTATAAAAATTTTATAGTAATTTAAAGCTAGTTTAACTTTATAAAGAATATTAAAGCTAAGTATAGTATCTAAGATAATAACATATATAACTTTAATAAAATAAGGTTTATAATAAGCTAAATATCTACTAGAGCAGTTATTATAAGTTTAGAGAGATAAGGACAGCTAAAAGTAGTCTAGCTAGGTAACTAGAAGTAGACAATAGCTATCTAGGGTATTAATGCTAAAAAGTAAGCTATTTTACTTTTTATTATTTTTTAGAGTAGCAACTACTTTTTAAACTAGTACAAAAAGGAAAATTTGCTTTAGAATTAAGTTATTATAATCTCTAAGTGCAGCTAGACTACTAATTAGCTTAGTCTAGACTAGTTAAAGCACTTTAATGCGCATATAAAAAAGTGTACTGTTAGCAGCTACTATTTACTAGTTATTAATAGCTATAAAAGCTATAACTTACTTTATTTCTAGTAATATTATAAGGATAATAAAATTATTACTATCTATATGCTTTTTTATTTATTACACTTTTTATAGCTACTTAATGTAAGTTGTTTTACTCCTTTAAAAAAAGTAAATAAGTGCTAAGCTAAAAACCTTATGCATAACTAGATTACTTATATTATAAAAATAAAGTTTCTGCTATGCTTTAAAGCAGCTTATAATGCTATAATTACTTTTAGTAATATCTAAGAAGGGCTCTAAGGCGCTAGATTAGTTCCTTTTAACCTATAATAGGTTATAATAGGCCTTAATGTAAAGTTATGCACTCTATTACTACTACTACCTATATATAATAAGCCTTAGTAGTTGCAAACTCTAAGCAATACCTTAGAACTTAGGTTATAATTAGTGCTTATAAAGATAAAAATTTAAAAGCATATAAATAGTTTACTAACTTCTATAGTTAAGGTGTTTAAAAAAGTCTTAAAAAGGGCAGTAATAATTACGCATAAGCTAGTGTTAGCATAATAAGAAATTACTAAGCTTTAAGCAGCTAATAAGGCTGCTACATAACATAAATTGCATAAAAGAAAGCAGATTAAGGCAGAAAAGACTTTAATAATTTAAAAAAGCCTGCGCTTAACAGCTCTAAAGGAGTTTAAAGCGCGCAGTGATAGGAAGAAGGCAAAGAAGCAGGTGCAAGCTAAAGTAAGTAAGCTATCCTAAAGGCGCTGCAGACAGTGCAATTAGACTAGGCATAACGCGCGAACGTGTAAGCAAGAAGCAGAAGTAGTATCTAAATAATATTCTAGGCTGTACTGTACTATATAGTGCCAGAGCGGGTTGTTATGGGCTATAATAGAGTTTGTTGGGGTGGGGTCTTGGCAAAAGTGAGCGACTCGGGTGTGTGAGCGACTCGCCCATGAAGTACGTTACAGTATAGTCTTAGAGACTTTATAACTAGATTACTATAGTAGCTTAAAAACTTAAAAGGCTAAAAGTATTTAAACCTCTCTTTTTTATATAGTAAATGTTAATTAGTAGATGCATTGTTAATTAAAGTACCAGGTGCTAAAATTGTGTTAGGGTAGACTATTTACTTGTGTGGACCGCTTGCTTGTAAAATATGTCAGCTATTAGAGTAGGTTAGTTTATAAAGAAAAGTATAAAAGTCTCTTAGACAAGAGAAATGATGACCCTTAGGCTATGCTCTGTTTAGAGTAGCACTATGCATGGTGGGTTGTGCGTCCTTGGTTCTCTCATCACAGCTGAGCTAATTAGCTAAGACAACGTGTTCTCGCACCAAGATTGCACTTTACCTGAAATAGACTAGCCAATGGAGTCCCGTGACTTTATAAGATCGTGAGGTTGTCTTAGGGCGTTCTCTAATCCTTAACGATAGTTTTGCGCCCGCTTCTGCACAGCATTTTATGTGGATCTGTGAGGACACCTCCATTGTTCAACAGTTCTGCTTTCAATGGCCAACAAAGCCGCCGATGCTTACTCAAGCACCCTCTCCGGCAAACAAACTTCCGTGCTCTTCAACTCAAGCTTCGACCAAACTTTCAATGTAGCGTTCACCCTGCATCCAATCCCCTTTGATAGCCCCCATTCCCAACGATCTGCCTTCCGAAAACGGCAAACACAGCCAGCGCGCTCGACCCCACTTTTGGTCTTGGCGGTACTTGAGCAATCGTCGAGCGAGGTGAAGAGCCCTCACCCCCGCTTTTCGGCGCTGTTCTTGCATCAGAATGTCATGGCCCAAACGCAGGTCACTGTCGCTGTATCGCATCGCAAAAACATGATAAGATGACCTATCTACATTCCGGCAAAGCGCGGAATTGACCGTCTAGGTATTCCGTTTCTGAGCTCTAGATTTCAAACCCCCATTATGGCTTCTCCGCACCCCCCCAACCTTCGGTTTCTGTGCTACCACACATTTGGTTTCGACGTCTTGCCATGACTTCCACCACTATTTCGATACCCCGAGGAAGAAAGCGAAATGATGTTGCAAATGGGAAAGGAGAGGTTCGTGCGGTGAGAAGATTTACCTGCGAGAAAGAAGGCTGCGGGCGGAGTTTTACTAGGGCAGAGCACTTACAGCGCCATTTGTTAAACCATTCTACGGGTGACCATACTTGTGCGAGATGCCGGGCACATTTCAAGAGAAAGGACTTGCTCGGTAAGGATTCTTTTTCGCACTTCCCCCCATAGCAAAGTGGGAGGGCTTTGACCATCCAAGTCTGGCAAGTTCAACGTCGCCTGGCTTCCACTTGGATAGCTTCTCACTGTACTCTTCAAGAGTGGATTGAAAAAACTATCTGCTGTCGTTACTTTGCACTGCCCTAGTTCCTCGCCCTTCCATGTTTGTCGATCCTCTTTGGATATATCCACTAATGGGGTGCAGAAAGGCATATGGCCCGTCATCGTCAAAAGGATGAAGAAGCAGGTGCCGAAGGTTGTGGTGTTTTGAATACCCGAAAACGTATGTGGAAGGATGCAGATGGGAGCATCGTGACCAAGAAACCAGCGTTGACCGAGGATGTCCAACCTTCTCAGCACCTTGATCACGATTCACTTGGATCATTGCGAGACTTTGTACCATTTCAAGACCACGAAGGAGGAGCACCAATATCACCGCCCATTTCTCATGACCCTTCACTTGGCCGCTCTACATTTGACGACCACGACTCAGGCATCGCAATCGGGTACCCTCCAACCCTGAGTGTGAACGCACTCTCCACGTCAGATGGATATTCACCTCCCTCAGACCAGCACTTTTGGTCCTCAAATCTAGCTCAACTAGAACCGTTTACACCTTCGACCTTTGAAGATGCTCCTTTCCTTGATATCTTCAACTCCGATACGGCAAGCTCCTTCAATAACCCCTTTACCACAATGAACAACTACAATTGGCTTTTCGACTTAGATCTCTCGCGACAGGAAAATCCGCCCGCTTCAAACCTGGTCTCAGACCCTTTCCAACAATTTCAGTTCAACGCCCATATGATCAATCCCACTTCTAATGGGTTCGAACTTCAACTAAATCAAATGACCGTGGGGTTTAATAAGACTGTGTCCACTGCTGCACAGCAAGGATCCGTTCAGTCACAGCTCACAGACTCGCCACAGCAAGTTTCTCCCGGGCCAATAATCTCTCCACCAATCACAGACGATGAGCTACGGAATGTAGCCAAGTCTGCGCTAAAAGACAATTCGTCGTATGAACAGCGCAAACTACCCAATGTCGCCGATACCTCCAAGCGCCGTGAGGGTATCGATCCCCACTCGGCTGTCGAACTTGAGAGGCCTTTATCCATGCTTCAGCGCTCAAGTAGTCTGCCCATAGTCGACGAGCTCGCACGAGCCCAGCTTCTCGACCTAATCGACGTTACCCAACCGGTTTCGCCAGATGGGAGTGTTGTCACAAGAGATCATCCACTCTTATCGTTGTCATCACTACAGACACACTGCGACCTGTTCTTTATTCGGTTTAACACTACGTACCCTCTTATCCACATGTCAACATTTGATCCATCACATGTCAACACGTTATTGCTGATCTCAGTGTTACTACTTGGAGCTACATATGGGGAAAAGGATGCCCATCAACTTGCGGTACGCTCTGTAAATGACTCTATCATGAACTCTTCTCACGTCTCACAGGTATGCATTCACGACGTTCTCCGACCTCAAATATTTGCAAACGCAGGGTTTTCTGCAAAACCAGATCTCTGGGTACTCCAGACGATCCTCCTAGTTGAGTGTTTTGGGAAGAGTCGAGCAGGGCAGAAGCAGCATGACATGTCCCATCTATTTCATGGCCTTCTAATCAATCTCATCCGACGAAGCGACTGTCAATCCGTTCGACCGCCTACCTTGGAAGATTCGACCGAAGACCTAGAAGACAATTGGCGGACTTGGGTCGAGGCAGAGCAAAAGAAGAGGTAGGTAACCTCAACTAATTAGAAGTTATCCGTGTTGATCCAATTCAGGCTTGCGTTCTTGTGCTTCATGTGGGATACCCAACATGCTGTGCTATTCTGCCAGTCCCTATGCATGTCCGCTTTCGAGCTACGGTCTTCTATGCCTTGCGATCAGTCGGTCTGGGAAGCAGATTCAGCCGAGAGATGGCACCAAATGCGTCAGAAATCATCGTCTTCACCTCTATTCCTAACTTGCTTGAAAATGTATCTGAGCCCCAGCGTCGCGTCTGTGCCGAAGAACCTGAATGCACTTTCGAGAACCTTACTTCTTCATGGGCTCATGTCCATTGCCTGGGATATGCAACGGCGAGACCAGACATCGCTTGGTAAGGCTTGGTCCCTGCCGATTCAGCGGCAACCCAAAATAGCTGACTATTCTAGGTATTATTGACACCAATCCGCTCAGGGATTGGCAAGCCCGCCTTTCTATCTCCTATAACGCCTGGAGTCGAGATTTCGATTCCTTTTGCGCCCAATATTCCTCCAAACTACCATGTACAGCTCCCTTCCTTGCCAAAGAATTTCAAACTTTCTGCACAGCCACGTTGGTTCTCTACCACTCTGCTCACATTCTACTCCACACTCCGTTCCTCGATCTCCAAATCTACGCCGGTGCGCGGCATATCCTAGGCCGGCCTGTCGCGCGTGCGGACTACGTCCGTTCACAGCGAGTTGTCAAGAAGTGGGTATCCGAGAACGTAAGAGAAGCCGGAAAAGCCGTATGGCACGCAGCCGCACTCGTGGAATCGGGCATGCATATTCTAAATGCAAATACTTCTGAGTCTGGAACTCGCTCTGGTACTGGTGATCTCGGTGGTGGAAGACTTTGGCATCTACCGTGGTGCATGTACCTCGGTACACTTGTAGTATGGGGTGCTTGGTATGCGCGTCCAACACCATCTACCTCGGATCCTTCGTCTCTTCTCCCTTCTCATATCACATATGAAGAGGACGATATTATCTGGGATCCACACGCTGAGATGCTTAGATTGCTCGAGATCATCAAGAGGAGTGAGCCTGAAAAATTGCTTGAAGGGAGCATTGCAGGACCTGTTGGGAAGAAAGGAACAAACGGGCTTGCAGCGGTTGTGAGCCGTTGCTTGAGTAAAGTTCGCTGGGCTGTCGTTCACGATGGAATGATGGTTTTGAGGGGGTTGGTCTGCTGGCGGTTGGTTGGTGGTGGAGGGATGAGTGGGTGGCTGCAAGGGACATTATAAAGGTGCTAAAGTGTACGAGGTGATTCTTGGGAGACATGCACAGCTTAGCGAGAAGCCGATTGGATACATAGATATGCTCGGCTGCGCTAGAAACTTTTCTCGATCGTCTAGGCTTAGAAAACCTTTTACATAACCAGACTTAAGCTTAGGTATTTCACTTTGTTGGAGATTCTCATGGACATTAGAAAGATATGACCCTGTACCTGACTTGGTTTTCCGCTTCCACATAACAAGGATTTCGCGGTGTCAATGCTGTTTCCAGCCTGGTCCTTTTCCTAGGACTGCTAAAACTGGGTTGCCTCTCTATTCGCAACTAAAGAATTTGGACCAAAATATCTTTGCTAGTTTTCCTTGAAAGAACTTCCGTCGCGCAAATCGTCCTCTAAGCCCATCCACAGCAACCCAACCCCTGTAATCTTTCTCTTCGTTGCTAACTATAGCTACAGCCTGATGTTATAAAGGTAGCAAAAATGTTCAATTACCCACATGAGACTATTTAGGCCCCCCAAAAAAACAAAAGAAAAACATACAACAGCCGGGATTCGCTGGTGGTCTCCCACCCAACTACTAATCGGCCGGTCGCAAGCTTAGATAGCAGAGATCAGACGGGGTCTGTCGAGTTCAAGCGCCTTTGGTCGTATGTGATTGAAAATTGCAATAAGTTTGTATATAGTTCAGAGTAATAGTCGCTATTATTAATAGATTATGGAGCGGGGCGGGGATAGGGGTGAGCAGTGGTAAAAGCGGATCGGATTAGGATAAATAAAGTTTTTGAAATTACGAATCTGTTTGCGAAGTTTTCTAGACGCCGGGTGGAGAAGGAGATGGAGTTAGTTTGGAGATTGGGATAGGCTCTGACATGTTGTTTTATGTTTCTCATGTATCCTTGGGAAGATATGCTCGACCAAATGCCCCAAAGCTAGATCCCAATATTTCTTGAACTAGATCATGAATAGGAGTGTTAATCTCTTGATGGAACGGACCTGCGATAAGTTTGGTCTCGTTACGTGCGTTTCAATTTGAGACATCTTCGCCAAATCCATGAGAAGTAGTGCTGTCAGAACTGGCTACGCCCAGTGTGTCCAACCGTTAGTACACCTAATAGTACAGTACTGCAGTACACCGATTTTGGTCACGTACGTACGTACAGGGCATCTACTCAGTATACTGTACTATACATGAGGCTGCTGTACTAACCGTTTAC